TCGTCCCTTACACACTTTGTTTTCACATATACATAAGTTGTAACTAGAAATATAAACATCCGTTGCAAATTAGAGGAATGATTGACAGATATTGCCCACAATGTTTTCTATTTTTGCTACAAAGTAAGGTACATCTAGACTTTGAGTTGTGTCTGTCTTTTAGTCACTTTTGGTCAGTCGTCGTGTTGATTGCGTGTCTACAAATCGGCATTTCTCCAAACACCACGAGAGAGAAGCAAGGAGTCAAAAAAAACAGTTGAGGTGAGAACAAGAGTTGTCGATATGTATTTTTGTGCTGAGATTGGAGATTGAAGTGGTGTTTCAAAGCAGACAACTTATAATACCGTCAAACGGTTTGTTACCACCGAGAGTATCCTGCCAGGAAAGCGCAAGAGCGACCAATCCGTGACTAAAAAACTGACAACGTTATAGACTGTGTCGAATATTATAAAACGTTGAGATCGAGCATTTACGGACGGGAAATTAGACAAAACTACTCGAAGACGGTGTATGTACGGCGGCACCACTTTATGCGCCCCTCTCACTAAAATAACACGTGACGCAAATTGAAGTTGGAAACTAAGTTGAAAGCCTCGGTCGTTTATTGGAGGAGAAATTCAAAACTAATGTACCGCCACTTTTAGGGGCAAAGCTTCCTTCTGGTGAGCTTCAAATTGCAGACATGCTGCCGTCTGCATTATTTGTAACAACTTCTGTAATTGTGAAAACAAAGTGTGTAACCTATTGTAGTAAGTTATCAACATCTAGCACTAATTCGGCGTCAAATCAGTGTCTGGAATTGCTGTAATATTCTTCTCATGTATCGTGATGATGAACTTTGGAGTGAGTTTACTGAACACACCTTGTCGTCAATTTTAAAGCATCACTTACCAGTCCTCATGTTGGTCATGGTCGCCGGGAAATCCAGCAAACCAGGATTATGTGTTGTGATTCCCATTTCTATTGATCCAGACCATTTATCTACTAATCTATCAATTCGAATCTTGGGAGAGAAAAGTAAAAACATAGTGAAACTATTAAAGCCTTACATACGATTTTCAACTATAAGGTATGCATTATAAGTAAGGGGTAAAATTTCATTCAGAGTGACAGAAATTAAAGCAACAATCATTCTGAAATTAGCAAAATATTATCATCAAAAAAGATTGTTTGTTTTTTTCAAATCATTTTTGATATTTCCTTGGTGAGAAAGACTAAATATCTCTGACAGTGAAATTGAAAATATTCTTTTTAGAGCCTTGTGTTGTAGCACTATGACATCTTCAATACGGTTCGCATAAGATGCATTTTATGCAATGCATGTGAAATAAATCTAGTTTACTTCAAACAAGCGATGCAGAGATCTCATTACTTTATGTTCATAGAATATACACAATTCAAGTCAGTTATTGAAATGAAATAACATTACTCTGGGCTTATCAAAATAAATATGAAGCAAACTGTTATTGCAGAATCTTGAACACATATGCTAACAATTGTCTATATAGTTGTCATTCTTTACAACTATTTGGATCGTTTTATGGTTATTGTGAAGGTAATTTTTTTCAAACAATCATTGTAATTCGAAATGTAAATTTCATGAAAAGTAATTGCAACTCGCTGTCTGAAGAACCCCAGTGTGACTGTGACTGCTACAAAACTGTCTCTGATTTAGCTTGCACAAAATAATGCATTTTTCTTTTTTTTAAATTTTCAACAAGAATGTTATCAAGACATGTAGCAAATAGAAAATTATGTTCATCTTATTCAAAATTATCGAAGTTCATTTTAGAAAAATATGATATGGCCACCAGTCAGCCATTTTTGATTTGATGATGACAAAATGCATGTGCTTTTTATTTCTTACCTCGAACAATTCATTATCCCGGAGGGGTCTATTAGTCATGACAACACCATTGTTAAACTCTTCTAGCGGGCGTCTTCGTTCAGCCGTTCGGTTATTGTTACTCAATTTAATAAGACTACCACAACGTTCATGAAATCTTAACACTTCATTTGATGCACTCCGCTGAAATGTACTTGGTATTCTGGCCAAAATATCTTCTTCAAGTCCATTCACAGGTAATACCACTGCTGAAGAAAAATTCATGAAACTTCAGATCTGATCAATATAGAATACTGCTTGGTATATCTAATAGAAATGTTTTGAATTGTACAAAGTGTTATTTTAAGATACACTGTGAAAATCTGACTTATGTGTGACCCCTCAGAAGTACAGATTCACTATTAGTACATATATATTCACAAATAATTCTTTCTTTAAGGTGTGAATCTATAAATGCTTGAATAATTTCCACATGATGCTTAAGTTGACCTTAGCTTCAGATTCAAATTCGGATTTGAATTCGTTTTGGGGATTCTGATTTGAGCAAATGACAGTATTACATGTACCGTAAAATCTGTATTAGAAGCTGCATTCTTAATAGAAGTCGCACCCATTCTTGAATAACTGGGAACCAAAAATTCATCATTTCACATATGTGTAGATGCTCTAATAGAACCGCATCCCCTCTATTGCATTGTACCATTTTAATAGAAGCCGCGGTTTACAATACTATACTTTCAGAGTATGATCACATGATTGGCTTTAATATTTCTGTGTTTCTGCTTTCTACATGTAGAATGTCTTTGGAAGAAAAAAAACCTTTAGGAAACAGAATATTTGCCAAAAAGAGAAAAATTTACAAATGTATTAAACTTATAAATTGTAAAAGTTCAGAACAATTTGGTGTTTTCTTAGAGACAAATATAATTTGTTTTTAAATTAATGGCACATTTTATGAAAACTAAATTATGTGCAATATTTAGCAAACAAATTAAAGATGAAACTACAATAGTGTGTTTTGTATTGTTTTTTGAAAAATTGAAATTTTTGAAAAACACAATAAGGTACATGTAAACACTTTCAGTGAATCAAACCTCAAATCCGTGGCCAGCTTCAGCATCGTCATTCGAGTGGTGACCCATATATTTGAATTGCTTTGCTTTGCTTTAATAAATCAAAACGTTCAAAAAATAAGGCTCCTCATGTCATAATGCGAAGCAATTTTATAAAGCAGGGGTAATAGCCAGAGATTGTGTTTTGATGAAGTCAGAGTCCACTGGTCTGTCGATTGGGTTGAATATACTTCAGAGTAGCAATCTCTCTGATGCATGGTGGACACATCAAAGCAAATAGCTATTAGAAACAGTACGATTTACTTATGCCTGCTGAAGCGAAACCTTTGCCATTATCGTAAAAATACAGTGAAACCTCTCCTTGAACTTGAATCACATATGCTTAAACAAATTTATGTCTTGCATATGAAGCAGCACTGTCAAAGCTACACTCACAACTGTGGATGTGTCTAGAGAGGGTGAGTAAAACAATGATTGAAAGAAGCAAGTTTTCCAAATCTGCAAAAAGCCAGCTGTACATTTACAATCAAGCTAGTAAATTTAAACAATTATCAGAATTATGTGCTGTGCTTGACCGTAGTTAGGTTTTTTGTGATGATAAAGCAGTTACAACAGCGAGCAATGTCTATGGCATTACAATGAACTAGTATAAGACATTGTATCTATTTATATTGTATTGCAATTGTGTTGTGTACGGATATATTTATTGCTTTTTACCAAAAGAAATATTGTAATTTCTAAGGATGCAATAAAATTTGATTATTATTATTATTATTGTGAGTAAAAAGACAAACCAGAGTACAGAAGCAAAAAATAATAAAAGGATAGAATGCACATATGCTCAGTCTTGAAGACAGTGTTGCTTACACATACACATGTATACATGTAAATAATCCAAAATCTAACTGCCATAATGCAAGATAGGAAGATGCTCACACAGTCCTGTTATAAAAACCTAAACATAGAACATACAATATAATTTCTGTGGCAAAGTATAAATATACATATAAACACCACCTGCCCATAGTGACCACCTTTAGACAGTCTCAATGTAATTTACATGTAAAGTAACCTGTATATAAAAACCAGCCGTCTAATGTGACCATTTTGGCACAAGTTGGGGAAACCTGTGTTAGTAACCACCATTACATATAAATACCACCTGCCCATAGTGACCACCTTTAGACAGTCTCAATGTAATTTACATGTAAAGTAACCTGTATATAAAAACCAGCCGTCTAATGTGACCATTTTGGCACCAGTTGAGGAAACCTGTGAATGAAGGCCAAAACAATGGTACCACATTTTCACTATTAGAAGTGCTTCTCTAATAGAAGCTCATGTAAACAAAAACAAAATCACATTAACTGTATACTGCTGCATTAAAATATTACTTAATTAGACCATAGAAAAATCAGTGTAATTTACAGTATGTAAGCACATGGGTAGTGTTTTATATTTAGTTTCTGCACTGACATTTATTATTTTAAATGATAAATTACTCCCTAAACTGAGAAATTATTTTTATTCACTAATTAATTAATTAATCCATATCTAATCTGTATATTATCCCAGAGCACAAATTCCAAAGAAATTCAACAAACAACTCTTGAGAAATTACTAACCACAGATAAAATAGTTCACTATTCTGCTAACATTCAATAAACAGGAAATACACTGTTGTTCCATTACCTTATCTGCTGTAATAGAAGTGCATCTCCAATAGAGACCCACATGAACCAAAAATTGCATTTATTGTATTCTGGATAATTAAAATGTGACTTATTTTGACCAGAGACACACCTCTCTTGTTCACAGTGCAAATACTGTATACATTGTCATTCATAACTGAATCCAGTAGAATTGGTCTGTCTATGTCTGAGCATTCAATTTTGCATTTTTCAGATCATACGTCTAGTACACTTGAATCTTATTTTAATATGAAGAAAACAAGCTAGATCTACAGATGATGTAACCCTTCAAATACCAACATCACCTTCCGTCACCAGTCACAAAATAAATCCACATAAATATGTTCTTATTTGATCAAACCCAATGAAATAGAAGAAATGAGCACCACCATTTTGGCGAGAAAAATTACAGGTATGTGTTTGTTAATGAGTTAAACTAGCATGCAAAGTCCTAGCTAAAGACAATGAATCAAAGATTCATGATCAATCAATTACTAAAAGGAAATTGTCATGACATTACATACAAAGTACATGTAAACAACATACAGTAGTAAGACAAGTTCACCTGAAGGCCAAAAGGAACACATCAGAACCTGTCCAACTAATAGAGTTATTATTTTATTATCCAATAAGGTAATAGTGGTTAATAAATTAAATATGTTATCAATTATAAACATTATTATTAAAGTTAGTGGTTAATGAATGATTAAATCCAGTAAACGCAAATTCAACTTACCCTTTCACAATATTCGACACCAGAAATTTGGTGGAACATTTAGATGTACTTTTCTACAATTTTTTTTTTTAATTTTAGTCCAAGTGACAATAATCTGGATGAAACAGGGTGTCCTCTCAAGTTCATGCTCTGTAGATTTTCTGTGAGAATTTTTTAGAATCTGAAGATTCACTTTTATGTCTCTGTCGTGCTTTATATCTCACCTAATTGACCATCTAATTACTGCCTGAGTGCATATTTTGCTGCATCCTGCTTGTAATAATGACTTAGTGAGAGATAACAGCCAGAAATGGGAACAAAAAACACTTTGCGCTGTGCAAAAGTTTGTGTTTAGTACCATTCTATTTCTGTCACATGTTATATCGTTACTGTGTCCGAGGTTAACAAAAGTAAGTTTTTAAATGTGAAATAAAAGTGATGCACATCTTCAAAATAAGAAAGATATTCAAAAATGTCTGACATTTTTTAACATGTTCGTACAGCATTATACGGACAAATGAAATCCATTGTTTACAGTGTCAAATGTATAATAATGTATTTCACATAATCGTAAAGAGTTATAAGCTAAGCATTGTGGGAAATAGTATTTTACTGGACTCTATGACAACACATGGCCAGATATTGCACATGTTAACTCGAGTTTAGAGACATACATGAATGAGACAAGTAGATCAACCACACCATAGCAAATATGACTGTATTGAGAGTTATTGCTAAATGTAAGATTAATATTTCAATGTTTACTCTGTATATTGATGAAACAACAAAACCATGTCTGAGTCTATATAATGTATAAAACTATATTTATATGACTAACAAAGCAATGCAGTCTGCAAAGACATATAACAAAACTCACACGCACACTAGCTGTTAAAACATAATAATGTTATCAGGTCATAGTTCAGTTACAACATAACCTTCTTACAATTAATCAATATCTTGGGCTTAAACCAATTCTAGTAATGGATTATTATTAAAGTTACAATCAGCTGATCTACATACATTTGTAACATTCAGGTTTTTCATTTCTTTTCCCTAAAATTGAGTGCTCTCAAAAAACCCAAATTCATGCCCTGATACATGTATATACTGTATTCGCTCTGTTAGAAGCACGTCTCTAATAGAAGCACAAATAAACCAAAAATTACATTTATTGTATACTGAATCATTCAAATATTAATTATTTTTTTGTTTTTGATCTATTAGAAGCACATGCACTTATGCACTTTTTATGGTCAAAATATGGAATAGTTTAATGATTCAATATGAAATAAATGCAATTTTTGATTTACATGAATTGTAC